CGTGTCACTCTTACCTGAGGGGTGGGCAGGTGGCCTGGGGGACCGGAAAGCGGGCCCGGCTGCTGGGGAGGACCAGAGCCACTGGGGTGCTGGACTGTCATGAATGGGGGTGGGGGTGGGGATGTTGGCTCGAGTTGCATCATGGGAAGTCTGAGCTTGGGGCCAAGTAGGGGGGCAAGGTGGGCTATGGGGTGGGCTGTGGCAGGAATTCCAGAGGACAGAGGAAGGGGTTTCTGGGGATTAGGGGTGCAGGCCGCAGGGGACGCACACAGGGCCCGAGCTTCTCCGGCCCGCTGGGGGAAGGGGAGAGGGGCAGACTCCTTAGTGCTCCCTGCTTGGGCTGGAGGAGGGCTGCTGTGGCCGGCCCCCACCCCTCCACTCTCCTCCCTCCCCCAGGCCCGCCGCCCAGCAGGGCCAGACGCCTGTCCACTGCGGTGCCGAGAGCGTTTTATCAGATAATAAATAAGACGGCTGGAGCCGCCCGTGTCAGCATCTTGGCGGGCAGGCAGGGCACGGGGAGGGGGCGCCTGCCTCGGCCCCCTCATGGCCCTCAAGGGCTGTCCCACATGGGTCTGGGGGCCTGGCCCCACCAAGGTTTGCATTGGGTGCAGCCTCGGGGCGGGGGGGTCCTGGCCTCAATTGCGGGGACTGTGCTGGGGGGCCTGGGTGCGGAAGGAGGGCCCCTCGGGCACATGCCCAGGGAACAGCAGGAGGGGTTGGTGCCTCAGGTGCTTGGTCCTGGGACCGTGCTGTCCCCGTGGAGGCCAGGACTAGGGAGCCCTGTCTGCTGCCTGAGCCCCTACCATGTGTCTGGGGGGCCAGGCAGTGTTGGGCCACGAAGAGTGGGCCCCCTGCCCTGGGCCCCCACATGGCCTGGTGGATGTCACTGGGAGGGGTGCTGTTGGTGGCGCCATGAGTGAGAGGTCCTGCAGGAAGGGGAGTCGGGTGGGGGTGGCCTTGGGCTGGGCCTTGAAGAGGGCAGGGCTGGACCAGGCGGAGTGCCGAGGGGTTATTCAGAGCCCTCTTCTCCTGCCCGGGCCAAGGCCCACCCAGTGACAGTCCCAGCCCCCACCACAGGCTCTCAGATGAGGACACAGACCACGGCACCCAGGACCTGCCAACACCAGGGACACAGAGGTGTGGCCCTTAGACTCAGCAGCCCAGTGGGGTGGGACCGGGTCCTCCAGCTGGGCCCCCGCACGTCCATGTGGCAGGCAGCTGGGGTGGACCTCAAGTTGGGGAGCAACCCCTAACTGCAGGTCTGACCCCCCCAGGCAATGGGGCAGGGCTTTAGGCTGCAGAGCCCGGCATCCGAGGGTGGAGGAGCCGCCAGCAGCCCAGGGGAAGCCTGCACTGGGGCTGGCCACACAGCTACCATCCCTCAGCCTCCTGCCTCCGTTCCAGCCGGCCTCCCCGCACCCCAGGCCCTTAGCTAGTCTGGTTCTGAGTCACCGTCTCGAGGCCCCTGAGCCCTAGTGAACGCTCCACCCTCCGCGGGAGAGGGGCAGAGGAAGAGCTGCGAGGGGCTGGTCAACGTGGAGGCGTGAGCTGACCACCACGGTGGTGAGTGGCCCTCCACGGACGAGGCCACCCAGCCATCTGGTGGCACAATGGGCGTCCCTCATGGCGCCAGTGATGACGGGGTTTCTAAGAGTCGTCCTTATTTGCTCAGCTACAAAGTCGGCACCCTGTGTCTCTTCCCCAAAGAGCTGTCTTCCCTTCACGTGCTTTCCAACAGGGGCCTTGCGGGACGATTCGTCATTTGCAGCGAGTGGTGACAGAGCCAGCCCGGAGCTCACAGGTGAGCACAGTGCGATGCGGCCGCCCTTGCTCGGGTTCAAGCTCGTGCGGGCATCTCGTGGGAAGCAGTGCTGATGAGCCAAAAGGACCGGGGCAGCCAGGCTCCCGGCATGCGCCGTGAACACACACCTGATGAGCGACGTCGAGGTTCAGGGGAGGAAGCTCGGCACGGTGAGCCCAGGCTGGGTACCGCAGCCACGGACAGAATCCCGGGGCCGTGTGCGTGTGTGCGCGCGTGCGTGTGCGTGTGTGTGAGAGAGAGGGGCCTTCTCCGGGGCCAGTCCTGCAGGACGGGTACCCCAGGGCCCCTCAGTCACTCACTGCTCGGCCTTCGGGAGGGAAGCTGTGAGCTCGAGCTCCCAGGGGAAGCGGGGCAGCGGCGGTTCTGCGGTGGAAAGCCCACTTCCCTCGTAGGAGGCGCAGGTCCGACTCCAGCCGCTGTGCTCCCTGTGCAGCTGCCGGCAGCCCCAGTGGAGACTTGTGTGCGGAGAGGACACCGAGCTGGTTTCAGCGGAGCTTTCAGACTCAGCCTAGGACGTAAGGCCTGGCAACCTCCTTCGAAAACCAGCCAGGGAGAGCCTCACGGGGTCTGACCGCCAGCCGGTCATGACGGCTCGGGCCCGAGCAGGTTTCCTTCAGGTGCGCGTGGGGGCGCCGGAAGTCAGCTGTGGGTGGGCTGTGTAGAAGCGTTCTGGTTCCCACTGGCAGGGAGCCTGGGGCCCTGGCCCTTCCTGGGTCCTCCCTTTCTGGAGGGTCTGCTCCTTCCCAGGTGCCCATGACAGGGCCAGTGCCAGTACGGCTCAGTGGACACTCCCTAGAGACTGGAGGAAACGGTTGTGGGGTCCCCTGGGGATGTCAAGGTGCTGTGGTCCCCTGAGTTCTCAAGGGGAGATGATGTGAAATGAGGGCAGCACGGGGCCTGACAAAGTGGCCTGTCCGTCAGTCCTGCTTGCCTCTGCTTGTTTATGGCCGGCGGGCAGAGCACTGGGTGGGCGAGGGGAGGAAGGGCTGCAGGAAGGGGGTGCCCAGCGGCTATATTAAGGCCCTGTTCTGACGGCTTCCGGCCCTAAGAGGCACTTAGGAGAAAGGCTTAAATTTAGCAGCCACGACCGTGCCCCGAGGTGGAGCCCTCAGCCGCCTGTCCGGCACATCCTGAAAAGGAAATAAAAATGCGGCAAAAGGGGCGTTTCCCTAGTGACCCTGCTCCCTGGGCCGGGCGCCCTCCTTCCCACCTGCCCGGCTCCGGACCCCACTGCAAAGCCCCCTGGGGTTGTACTGGCTTCCAAGTTGCACCTCCAAGTGCTGGGGATGCCCAGGGACGGTTCCCCTACTCTGCTACCTGACCCACAGACAGACACGAGCTCCCCCCACCCTGGGGGGAAACTGAGGCATGGTGTGGCAAGGGTGCCGCTCTACACTCGACGCCTGTCCTCATGGGGCCCGCTGTGACCCGGGACTTCTCCGAGCCTGAGCCATTCTCCTCCAGAAGGAGCCTCAAAGCTCCCTTGGAGGAGAGTTATGGAGGGATGGGCAGAAAGGGCCCATGAGGCCAGGGCTCAGGCCGCCAAGGGCACAGGTGTCAGGGTGGTTTCTCAAAGCAAGGAGGGCAACCTGTGCATGCCAGGTCGCTAGGGGTGCACAGAGGGGACCCGGGGCAGGGTCGAGGACGGGGGAGCCCAGGGCCCCAGGGCAGGGCCGAGGACGGGGGAGCCCAGGGCCCCGGGGCAGGGCCGAGGACGGGGGAGCCCAGGGCACGGCCGAGGACGGGGGAGCCCAGGGCCCCAGGGCAGGGCCGAGGACGGGGGAGCCCAGGGCCCCGGGGCAGGGCCGAGGACCAGGGAAGCCCAGGCACCCTAGGTCAGGGCTGAGAATGGGGGAGCCCAGGACCCCAGGGCAGGGCCGAGGATGGGAGAAGAGGGAACTAGGTGGCAGGTCTTTATTTAACAAGGTCTTAGTAACCTTTCTTACTGCATCATTGATCTTAAAAAAAGACAACATCATGGAACTCGGGCAGGACCGACAGACCCATTCCAGAAGCTGACCCAGAGACAGCCGCTTTCAAACACCAAAGAGAAGGGTGAAGCCGCTGTTTTTGTTGGCTCATGTGATATTTTTTAAAAAGTTGAATTGTGAAATTGGAAAATAAAAAAAGAAAAGAGAAAGCTTGACATTGGAAGATTTCACTCAAAAGAAATCCAGATTGCTGGCTTCCCTGAAAAGCCAGGTACTGCCAGGGAGAGGCGGCAGTGGGCGTGTGGACGGACGAGGCCCTTCCCTGGGCTGCACAACCGTCACTCTCTGTCGCCTCCCTGACAGTGCTCACCAGCTCTCCTGGGTGGGGTCGCCCCAGCTAGCGTTACCAGTCAGTCTGCCATTCCGACTGGGATTGGGGGCCTTTGGTGAGTGGGAAAGGCGCAATTCATTCATCCAGGATGACAGGGCTAACTGGGGTGGCCCAGAGAAGGTGGGACACGTGGCCACCCCCACGAGCCCTGCCAGCGCCTCATTGTAGGTCAAACGGCCCCAGCCACCATCCGTCTGAGGGGCACGATCACAGCGCAGATTCTGTCAGGACAAAGCCCTTTACTGCGCCCCTGGGGAATCCATCCCAATAAACAGAGGCCCAGACTGCCTCCTGCGGATGCCCCGTCAGGCCGAGCCCTTGTGCAGACACTCAGCCTCCGTTCTGCAGCCTGGGCTCACAGGAGGGAACTTCTCTGGGCCTGGAGCTCGTGTCAGTGGGATGCAGGGCAGCCCGGGGTGAGGCCTTGGGGCCCCATGTCCGCCCCCTTCCTCGCCGTTCTGCCACCTGCCCAAGCAGTTCCACAGCACGAGGTCAGGGCTTTCTTAATCGCAGAGCCAGTAACAGCGTCGACCCAGAATTCAAGTTGGTGGTGGGTCCCCAGGTGCACAGGGATCAGCATGGTCCAGAGCTCTGTGCAGCATTTGGGGGTCACTCTGCTGCCCAGGGGCTCGGGCCCTTCTCCTCACAGCCTCCTCAGGCTGGGTCTGAGCACAGGGGCCTCTGCCCGAGGGCCGAGGCACAGCCAGTGCTGTGAGCTCCTGAGGCGCAGGAGGCCAATGTCTGGGTAGCAGGCGGGTGGGCTGGCGGACTTAGCTGTACCCGAGCCCCTGGCAGCGAGGCAGGTCACCGGGTGCCTTCTTCTGGGGAGGCACCCCAGACGCCACACGCTTGGGGCCTAGGCCAAGGCCAGCGCACACCAGGCCTCCTGGCGCAGGGCCCCACTGAGGCCAGCCTGGGGAGCCAGGGCAGCAGATGAGAAGGCAAAGTCCTCAGGCTCGAACTTGAACTTCAAGTGGCTAGGGGGCAGGGCCTCGTCCACCTGGCTGGGGGCCTGCAGGGAGGATGGATGTACCGGTGAGCCAGGCCTCCCGCCTCACGCAGCTCTGAGCCGGGAAGGCTCTAACGGGCGAGGGAGGTGGGGAGTCGGAGAAGGCTTCCTGAGGAAGAGTCGGGGCTGGGCTCGGGTTCCCCACCCCACCTCGCCCCCTCACCTGGGAGGTGGTGCTGAATCCGGGGCACGTTGAAGACACCAGGCTGGGTTCGGGCTTCAGAACAGCTGCTGAGCTCTTAGAGTTGGGGACAGAGGACAGGGAGGCTGTGGTGCTCATGACAGACCCTGCGTGGAAGACAAGCGTTTACAGCTCTGACCACACCTTCTTCCTCCTGCCCAGAGAGGTACCAGGACTCCTCAAGGTCACACAGCAAGTGAGAGGGTGGGTGTGGCCAGCTCAGCTGAAGCTCCTTGGAGCCCACTCTGCCCGAGGCTGGGTGAATACACACCACCCTGACCCTTTCCCAACCACAGTCCCCACAGGGCACAGCTGGGAGCATCTGTATTTGGGGGGAGGGGATGTTGAAGCCAAACATATGAATCTCTAATGGTCAATTCCAGACACTAGAAGGGGCTCCATGAGGAGAATGTACACATGGCCGGGCGCCAGCCTTGCCCGGCTGTGCACTGACCCACCCGATGGGCCCTTGGCCTTGGCGCTGCCCTTGGGCTTCCTCTTTCTTGTCTGGATACTCTCCTTCCTCATCGCCAGAGGCCGTGGCACCTGGGGGGGGTGACAGGGGCGCTAGCTGGGCCCAGTGCCTGCTTGCCCACCACCCTGGGAGCTGCCCGAGTTTGCACAGCCCCGACTGGGCAGCACGCACCCGAGTTGGGCACCTTCCTGCCTGGCGTGCCAGGAGGGGCCCATGCAGCTGAGACCGAGGTGCTCAAGGTCAGTGGCCCCGTCTGGACAAGGAGCATCACCGTAGGAGGCTCTGCTGCCGAGCGCGGGGTGGGCGTCGGGGGGTCACTGCCGGCTCCTGCGGGCCCTGGTCTGCCCGTTCCCGCCTGCCCGCCGGTGGCCCGCTCACCCCGTGCAGCTTCATGTAGAGGCCACAGGCGTTGCACACAGGCTCCCCCTCCGTGCTCCGTCGCCACAGCGTCGTGTTGGTTGTACGGCAGTTGGTGCAGCAAAGTCCCGCCCGGCGGGAGGACGACTGTGGGGACAGCAAGGCTGCTCAGAGCCCAGACGAACAGCGGGGCAGAAGCCAGACCAGGACTGCCTGCCAGCCGGGCTGGGACCTCACGGGGTGGGGCAGCCAGCGTGTGAGGGTGCTGAGGTCGGGAGGTCTGCCCGGACTGGCCTTGCAGGCTTCGGAAGACCCCGGGGCCTGTCATGCCACGCGTTCTGGCCTGTCTCCGCATCAGTAAAATGAGATGGTGAGAACCCTCCCAGGCTGGCTGTGGGGTTAGGGATGCAGCCCGGGAAGGGCAGGGCCCAGGGACGCACGGTGAGATCATGCTACTGTCTTCCTGTGGTATAGCCATCAACATCTGTCCGTGGTGGGGCAGCCCCCAGAGCCACAGACCCCAAGATCAACGTTCGGGGCACCAGTCTCCCTACCAACACAGGGGACTCCGAGTCCACTGCTCCATTCTCAGTAGCAGTACCCTCAGCTCAAGAACTCCCCATGGCTCCCACTGGCTGCCGGACAGAGGACCGAGGGCGCCAGGCCCTGTCTGCCGGGGCCTCCCCTTGCTGCTCACTGCATCCCTACACTGTCCACCCCTCCCCATCTTGGCCTCTGCTGGAGGTCGGCCTTTGACCCTGCAGATCTGTCCTGGGACCTGACCCCAGTACTAGGAAGCTCCCGGGGCTTGGTCCAGCCCTAGCTCCAGGGTGCTGGCGGTGGGTCTCGTGGCTCCAGGACTCTGGATTTAACCTGCTGGGAGGCCCTGGGGCTCTGACCTACTGGCTGGCTCAGAGGCCCGCTGCTGGATGGCTGTTCAGGAGCTCCCCAGCTGCCCATGGTACCCTGCCTCCCGCCAAGCCACCTCTCTCCGGGGTTGGAGGAAGTATGGTGGCCTCCCAGGCTGGGAGCTCCACAGCAAAATGCCGCAGACCCAAAATCCCCACCACCTGGCGGCGCCATCTTGCTGGTGACTACTTGCTCCCAGTCACACTTGTCCTTGGAGGCTGCAGGCTCTCCTAATCCCCCTCACCATCACCAGCCCCCGCCTGCAGACGTCTGGCCCCATCTGGCCCCCTCCTCCCTTTGCACAGCCCCCACCGGGCCGCTCCCTGGCTCTTATCATGGGATCACGTGGTGCCCCTGTGATGTCTCTGGCCCATCCCCCTGCTGCAGGAGCCTGGACCCCAGCCCAGGACGAAACCAGAGGGCAATCAAGAAGGGGACCACCAGAGCTGCACGCGCGCATGCATGCCAGAGGACTCCACCCTGGGCTGGAAGGCCGACACGGCTGGCCTTGGTTTCCCCTTCTGCCCTCAGTCCCAGCTCCCTTCCTGCTGCCAAGGCCAAGCAGCACTGCTGCCCCAGGCTGTGGTCCTCTGGTCAAGGGCGCAGGCCCGGATGCCGGGGTTTCCCGTGATGGCCCAGAAAGAGGCAGCTCTGCGTGGCAGCTGGGTGTGGGGCCTGCTGGCCACCAGCTCAGTCACCCATCACCCTGCCCCACAATGCAGGCAGCCCTATGAGGGGTTCCACAGAACTCCGTCCAGTGGGATCTGGGGCTTGGTGACACCCAGCCCTGGACCCAGAGCAAAAGGCTGAGGGCAAACGGAGGGACCAGGTGCCTGTGGGGGCTGCAGTGGCCAAGGCAGCCCCAGAGGCTGAAGCCCTGGTCTGGCCAAGAGGCAGGGAGGATGGTCACCCGTCCCCAGGCTGAGTCGGCCCAGTGTCTCCGCTTGGAGTCACCTGGGGTCTCTGGAGGTGCTGGGGGGACTTGAGCCCCAGCTGGAGTCACCTGGCATCTCTGGGTGGCATCTGAGCCCCAGCTTTGAATCACCTGGGGTTTCTGGGGCTCTTGGGGGGACTTGAGTCCCAGCTAGAGTCACCTGGGGTCTCTGGGGGTACTGGGGGGACTTGAGTCCCAGTTTGGAGTCACCTGGGGTTTCTGGGGCTCTTGGGGGGACTTGAACCCCAACTGGAGTCACCTGGGGTCTCTGGGGGTGCTGGGGGGACTTGAGCCAGGCTGATGTGGGGATCGTTGGGCCCAGACAAGGATCCAGTAAAACAGAAGGGGGTGACTACAGCCGCTGGGCAGCTGTTGGGTGCACTCTGAGGGAGGAACACTGGGCTTCAAGTCAACTGGGGTCCCAGCCCCTGCCTCCCTGGCAAGTGTGGACCCAGTCCAGAAGGTATTGGCTTTCACTGGACCTGACTCTGTGTGTCCCCTGCCCTATCCACCTGGCCCAGAGTCCTGGCCCTCTGGGCCCAATGTCCTGTGCTCCCAGCCCTGTGAGTCCCACATGCCGCAGCCCTGACTCCTTGATCCCCACCATCCACCTGTCCCAGCCCCGACTCCTTGACCCTCACCGTCCGCCCATCTTCCTGAAGGGGAGCTGGCCTTGGGCCCTACCTGGAACCACCAGGTTGAGCCAGCAAGGATGTCAAGGGCAAGTGGCCTTAAGTCTGCCCTCCCTCCCTCAGCGGGGACCCTGGCCTGAAGCCTGCCCTGTCTCCACAGTGGAGACCCTACCCTGAAGCCTGTCCTCCCCTGCAGTGGGGACCCCCAGCCTGAAGTCTGCCCTTTCTCCACAGTGGAGACCCTGGCCTGAAGCCTGCCCTTCCCCTCAGTGGGGACCCTGGCCTGAAGTCTGGCTACCCAGTGGGGACCCCAGGCCTTCTTGTTGATCTTCGCTCACTTGGAGTTCACGTAGCCATCCCCATTCCAGAAACACGTCAGTGTCCTTGGAACTCCATGAATCACAGGATAAAAATGCTGCCTCCTCTGACCTTCTGCCATGTCCTCCTAAGGGTCCTTCCTGCAGCCACTCCCAAGGGACAGGACACAGGCTTGGGGTGCGGCAGCAGGAGTGCTGCTGTCATCAGCATGTGAGTACACATGAACACATACATGCACACAGAGACACATGTCCCCACACACATACACATACATACATGTGGACACACATGCACGCACACACATACACGTGCACCACGAACATGCATATGTGTGCATGCACACAGATGCAAGTATGCACATGTACAGCACACATGTACACACATGCCTAAATGAGCACACCTGTGTGCACATGTACACACATAACACATGTACATGCACATGTGCACATGCTCACACAAATACTTGCACACCTACCTGCACATGTACACAGAGATACAGGTATACACATACACACATACACAGATATACACACATGTATGCACTGGCACACATGGATACATGCAAATATACACACATGTAAACACATCTGCACATGCACACACAGATACGTGCACATGCACACAGAGGCACAGACACACATGCACACGTGCACACACACACACACACACACTGCCCGGAGAGGAGGCCCCAGACCGTCCTCACAGAATGGCTTGTGGAAAGTGATGAGGCCTGGGGTCCCATGAGTAAAACATGTGCAGGAATGGCTCCACAGCACGCATAGCTGCTGCCGCACACCCTGCGTTCAAGGAGAAAATCCGGAAGCCACGTTTGACTCTTCTGACAACAAGCACGTTCCACTTTTGCGAACTTAAGAACGTGGATGAAAAGGATGAGCCTGTAAGATGTCCTGATGCTTCCTGTGGCTGCTTCCTGGGACCCTCCAGACGGCCAGGTCGCAACAGAAAACAGGCTTGGAGGTTCCAGACGGCCATGTCGTGATGGGAAACAGGCTTAGAGGTTCCAGATGGCCATGTCACAATGGGAAACAGGCTTGGAGGCTCCAGATGGCCAGGTCGCGACGGGAAACAGGCTTGGAGGAGCCATGGGACCCAGGAAGCTGTGGGGTGCAGCCAGCCTTCCCTGGCCAAACATGCTTTGAGGACGCAATCTTGGTGCCCTCGGCCTGCGCTGGTATCCCAAGCCCTCCACACCCTGCCACACACACGGGCCTCCATCTGCCCTTCCTCACCGCCCAGACAGGATCAGGCCTGGCCGAGCTCCAGGCCCCCGCACGCCAGTCCCTCCCAGCTGGCTTTCCTTAGTCTTGTCTGCTCTTCTCCAAGGGAGTGGGCCTTCCAAGGCTGCGGGTGACCCAAGCGCCAGGCCCTGTGCAGTGAGACCCAGATAACCCCGGGTGGGGCTGGTGCCTGATGTTGGGAGGTACGGGGAGCCGGGAGTGGAGCTGGCGTGGAGGGATCAGGCAAGCACACAGAAAGGCACTTTGGAGAATGCAATGTTCCAGCAGCCTGCAGCCTTCTGTGGGACCACAGCCTGCCCCAGGGTCCAGCAGACATGCTGAGGAGGTGGCGGTGGCGGCACGGGGTCAGAGCCTTTGGGGATGGCGTCTGGCCGGGATGGCCCTCAGTTTCTGCAGGATGCTCTGGGAGGGGCGTATGGCTGACATTAACCATGGTAAAGCCCCCGTGTCCTCTGCCTGACAAGGCAAACGGTGCTAGGGCACAAGCGGTCACAAGTGAGTGTGCAAGATGGAATAGGAGGCGCTGAACAGCAAGGTCTGAGTTTAGTCAAGGACTTCTTGGCCACACGCAGCACTGAGCATTCCCAGGCTGGCACCAGGGTGGCCTCGGGATGACAGGCCTACCCCATCATCCACTGCCGTCCACTCTGACCTTGGCTCCAGTGCCCAGCAGGTGGGCCTGAGTGCAATAGGGGACCACCAGCAGCCATCCACTCTACTGTCTACACTGACAAGTGGTCAGGGGGCCACCACCAGCCATCCACTCTGCTGTCTACACTGACAAGCGGTCAGGGGGCCATCACCAGCCATCACCCTGCTGTCTACACTGACAGGGGGTCAGGGGACCACCACCAGCCATCACCCTGCTGTCTACACTGAGGGCACAGCATGCACTGGAGGGGCTGGCCGGAGTCCAAGCCCCTGTGGGCTGTGCGCCCCACCTCACCGGGGCTGCTGGGAAGGGAAATAAGATAGAGTCCCTGCTTGCCTCACCCCTAAACCAGCAATGTTCTGGTGGGCCTTGCGAGGGGAGGGGACAGGCGGCGCCCTCCAGGTCCTGCTGGTCTGCACTGTGTCCTTGGGACCCAGGTCAGGGTTTGTCTGGCTGGGAGTGGGTGGAGCCAGGGCTGGAGCCTGGGGGTGCTAGTCCCCTCCCTGCTCAGAAGGGCCACACCAGACACCAGGTCACACTGCACGCCCAAGAAGCGAGGGGCCATCACAGGGGCAGACGGGTGTGGGAAGAAGCCAAGGGTGTAAAGGGGGAGCTTGCGGGACCCGCAGCCTGAACTCTCAGCCCGCTCCGCTCCGTGGAAGAGCGCCTCTGCCCCAAACAGCCCGGCCAGTCGGCCCCCTGGGGACTCAGTGTGGGTGGGAGACTCTCCTGGAGGCTCAGGGGTGTGGCCGACTGAGAAGCAATTCCGAGTAGCGACCTGGGGGCCACGCAGGCTGTAGGGCAGGGACGGGGCAGAATTTCTGCCCAGCCAGCACTCAGGGCTCGCGCTGGCAGGAGACCAGAGGGCCTGACTGACTCCCAGCCCTGCCAGCACTAAAGCACACTGCCCACTCCAAGCGACCTCATGGGACCCAGAGAACTGCCCCGGTGGGGTTCCAAGGCTACGGAAGGAAGTCGATTGCCTCAGCTATCGCCTGGAGTGGCTGGTGGGTTCCGACAACCACCTTTGGATCAGCATCCAAATTCTTGAACCACTGCGCCACCAGCTCTTGGGTCTCGCCAACTTGAACTACCTTTCAAAGGAATCCAGGCCCCTCAGAAGGCAGGATGGGGCAGGAAGGAAGGATGAGGGAAAAGGGGAGCCCAGGGAGGAAGTGGGAAGAGAGCTGTCACACCATAGGGACTGTAACCAACACTCCAAAACAAAGGTGCGTAAATCCTATGCAAAACTTTTACAGAAAACCAGCTGAGAAACAGTGTAGAACCAAGCTAGCTAACTAACACCCATGCCAGAGGCTCTCTGCCCTGCTTGGGCCAAAGTCGGGGCACCCCAGTCTCCACGCCCTGCTCCCCACCTCCAAGCAGCAGCAGGAACCAAAAGTGAAAACAAGTTTTCCCCAGGAGGCAGGAGAAGGCAGATCCAGTTTTCTTTCCTTCTGTGTGGGACAAGCCCCCCAAGGGGGCAGGCAGGCCCAAAGCCCCCTCCTGTTGCAGACTTAAATGCCCCCCCCCCCCAGCAAGCTGTCTACCCAGCTGTCCCCATCCCCGGTGAAGTCACCTCCTCTCCTCCTGGGTGGCAGTCCCAGAATGCAGCAGAGTTCTATCCCTTCCAGGACTTCTTGCCTGAGGTCTAGGGACTCCTTGAGGCACCGCAGGACCCCAGAAGAGCTGAGCGTGCCCACTGACCCAGCCTGGGGCTGTCCTGGTCCCATTTCCCGCCTGGCTCGCTACCCCTATAAGACTCCCCTACCAACTTGCTAGGTGATACCTGGTGGGTTTGAGACGCTGAGCTGGAGGGGGAGGGGCATGTGGACCCCATATCCTGGCTCACTCCCCTCCACCAGTTCCCCAGTGTCTGTGCGGTGCCCCCAGAATCGGTACAGAGGAGCTGGAGGCTGCCCCGCAGAGGGACACCCCCTCTTCCTCCCGTCACTCCAGTGCCATGGTCTCCCCGCCCCCAGTCACTCCCTCGTCCCCAGGGTCACAGTGGCCGAGCCCTGCCCCCCCAGCGCTGCACTCACCAGGCGCTTCTGTGGCTGCACCAGAGGCCGGTTGACTCCGTTCATCTTGTGATAGAGACCACAGGCGTTGCACAGGTAGTGGCCTGTGCCATCCCGGCGCCACAGCGGTGTGGACAGAGCCCCACAGTTGACACACTCACGGCCCTCACCAGGGAACTCTTCCAAGAAGTCAGGCACTGGCGGACAGGCGGCGAGTGAGGGCCCTCAAAAAATGCCTACTGCCCCCTACACACTTATTTTTAGTTTTACTTTTTTTTTTTTTTTGCCTTAAATTTGTTTCATTTAAAATGAATCAGTTAATTAAACTTAATTTCGTTTTTAAAATTTAAATTGACCCCCCAAACAAAATTACGTACAGCAAAATATGTGCTCAGCTTAGAAGACCACGAAAGACGCCTTTACAATCCCAGCTGGGGCCCTGGGGTCCCTCTCCTCGAAGCCCTCCCCCAGCTTCCCTAGTTTGGCCCACGGGGGAGGGGGGAGGTGGCGGAAGGGCCAGAACCAGGACAGTGGCACCTCTGCTCCAGCAAAGGGCCGTGTGCCCCTCCCGCCTCACCCCTGCCCTCTGTAGCCTGGGAAGCTCTGAGTGGGCTTTGGGGGCCAGTCAGAGGACACGCACTCCCGACAAGGGAGGGAGATTGGTACAGTTTTGCTGGCGTGGTCACCACCCCTCCCTCGCCACCCTCTGGGGTGTCGCACATGGGATCTAGGGTGGGATAGCTCTGGGTCCTTCTACCTGCCGGCAATGCGGCTGGGGTGCCTGGTGTGGAAGGGCGCGGGGTGGGTGCCAGGCATGGGGCTGCTGGAGCAGCGGGGGGCAGCGGGTCCCAGAGCCTGCAGGACCCAGGGCCGAGGAACTGGCTCCAACCAAGGCTGGCCTGGAGCTGGGCGGGGAGGCCTGGTCCCAGGGCAGCAAGCACACAGGGCGTGGCCCTCGGCTTGGACAGCAAAACCGGTGGCACCGACCGCTCAGAACCTAGCTGGGGCCAGGAATTCGATTGGCCAGATCGACCCTCCTAGAGAGTATGTAAACATTCCGGATCGGGGGCGACTGAGAGGATTAGTCAAATCAACGGTTACTGCAGCTTTACGCTGGTCCTCTCCAACACCCGGCTCAGAAAAACGTTCAGAACCCGCTCCAGGTCGCTCGGATCCAGAATGCAGGTTTGGGTTGGGATGAACGGGAGGCAGGGGCAGATACACTTTCTAACGTACGGAAACACACGCTGGTTCGGTCCTCCAGGCCGCGGGTTCGAGCCTGTCCGGCGACCCGGAGTACAGCGCCCTGGCGGTGGAGTGGCCATTTCGCAGAGTGCGGGTTTGCGCCCCGCGCGCCAGCACCAGGACTCACGCCCGCACTCACCGAAGGAGGCTCTGCGGCCCGGGAGGACGCTGGTGTCGAAGGGTCCGGAAGCCCAGGTCGGGGCCACATCGGAGCTCACGTAGGCCGGGTAGGCGCTGCCGTATGAAGCGCCCACAGGTCGCCCGAGCGGGGCCGCGTACTGCTCGCGACCCAGCAGCGCGCCCTGGTAGGCGCCGCACTCCCGGCCGCCCGCGCCGCCGCCCGGCCCGGGAGGGTTGTGCACGAAGGGGAAGGCGGCGGACCCGGGCGGCTGCGCGGGCGGCGGGTGAGGGCTGCCCGCTCCGAAGGCGGACGAGTCGGCGGCTGCCTGCGTCCAGCCACGGTGCGCGGCGAGTGCGGGGGGCTGCGGACCCGGCTCGCATGCGGGCAGGTAGGGCAGCAGGTTAGACACGCGCGCTGGCGGCACGAACACGCGGGAGCCAGAGCCCGGCGCGTGCAGGAAGGCGCCCGAGTCGGCGTAGGAGGCCTGGCCGGGGCTGGAGGCCAGCGCCAGGCTCTGGTACATCGTCTCCAGCGCGGCCTTGACCTGCAGGGAAGCGGGCCCGGCGGCAGCGTCACGCCGGGGTGCAGCCCTCGCCAGCGCCGGCGCTCGTCCCGGCAGGTGCCACCGCCCGGGCCGCGCGGCCGGGTCCCCACTCTGCGTCCCAGCTGCTCCCGGTGCGGCTTCAGGGCCGGCGGGGGCGGACCCAAGCGGCGCCCCCAGGGCGGCCCGGGTGCCCAGCCCACCGTCTCCACCGCCCGCCGTCAGGGGTCCCGGGTGGGGGACTCGGCGGGGGCGGGGAAGGCAGGCCGGGCGCATCTGCGGGGTGGAGGGCCTGGGGCGCGGGGCCAGGCACTCACCCGTGGTCGCGAGGGCCGGGCGGGAGCCGGAGAGCGCGGCGCGAGGGCTACAGGCCGAGGGAG